TATATATATACACAAACAATAAAATGTTATTTAACTTGAGAAATTAGGTTATCATTGCTCCTTTAATGTTTAACTTTTATGTTAGGAGTCAAAAAATTTCCGAAGTTGTCTAATGAATTTATAGAAAACTATCGAGGAGAACCATAATCTCAAACGTTTCTATTTTTGATTCTGCAACACTTAATCTAACACGTGTCGCGAACTTGATCCCATCTTTAGGCGATCTAGCCTAAGTAAGTATGTCCTTGTAAGAAATAAATCGCGCATAGAAATATATTCGCAGCCTTGCATGCTACGTCGGAAAACACCTGCGTTTTGCCTGCAGAGCGGCAGACAATCGTTTGTTGCTGGCCTTCCGTGGCGGCGCATTGCGAAATCGTCATCGCTAAGTACGATTGCGATGATAACGACGAGGCGGTTACTATTAGCGTCTTTCCGTATTACTACATTGGCGATGCGTGCATAAATAATTTAGCATGAATCCATTCTAAATCAAGGAGAAGATCGCGAAGAATTTCCAATCAGAAAAATTTAATCATCCTTTTAAAAATTTAGAGATAAGTCAGAAGGGATTTTACTATTAAAACAGTGAAAATATAATTCAAATAAATAAATAGATATTAAAAACAATTTTTCAATAAAGCGCAATATGTTTGTATATGTTTGTAATTTTCAAATTGCTATTTTAATTAAATTAAAATATTTTTCGCGCAAATACAAAGTAATCTCATGTCACTATTTCTTATATATATATAAATAAGGCGATGTCTGCAAAGTAATTTTTGATGTTTCTCTTGGTTAACGCCACCCGTGGAGTAAGAAGATTGAAAAAAAATATGAAACGGAATGGAGAGAGAAAAAGAGAGAAGGATGCGAGGAAAAAGCGGGCGTTACCAAAGAAAGACCCGTTGTCGCCGGTAAAATGGACCGAATGGAAAAATCGGACGTCGGATGAGCTCATTACCGATTCGGCATGTGAATTGCTCAATTTGCAGTTGCAAAGGCAGGAACGAGCTCACAATAAGCATAGCACCAAAGGCGAGATAAAGAAGGATAAGAAATCACTATATTGATCAGGCATTTTGTAGTAATGACAAAATTAAGATATTTATTCGCAGTATTATTCAGCACTTGTCACGTATAATTTCGTATCGAAAACTTGTTTAATACGGACAAACAAGACAATCTGATTATCTTTGCGAGCAATGAAACTGATTTTTATATTAATTAATATTATAAAATATATATTTTTTAAAAATTTATATGTGATATTTTAATTAGTTTCCTTTGCCTGAGTTAAATTTCTTGAATGAAATATAAATATAAATTTGTACGAATAAAATATATAAAATCTATTTAATAGTGAATTAATGTATTCTGTCGATAATTTATTAATTAATCTATAACTTATTTAAAAATTTAGTTGGCAGATCGATAACCTTTCGATCGATGTAAGAGCACTTCTTAATAATGACAATTTTGAATATAAAAATGCACTATAAGAAAATTTTCATATATATAAAATAAGTATATTAATATATATTTTTATTGTAGACAGAAAATTATTTTTGCAAAATGAAAAAAATTAATTTTTTAAAGAAAAATGTATCTACATTAAAAACGGACTTTGTTTTAATCTCGATATCGAAATATTATCCAAATAAAAAACAATAACAAATATATAGATTGTCATAAAATTGCAGACTTATAGAAATAAATGCATCACTAGCAAATCGTGAGAATCATAATTTAATTATGAAAAAAATAATTATAACAATAGCTAAGAATACTTGCTATTTTTATATATTTTATTCGTTACAGATTTCGATTTATAAAGCAATTTTTACTATCGCTAGCAGTGCACTTTACTTTTACAAATCTGCTGAGGTTGTGATAATCTGAAAATATATTTCTTATTTGTCTTTTACTCTTACTTATTTCTTATTTTACATTATTTTATTATAAAATTTTTTGTTAACTGATATATAATGTGCAAATTTTGTCATACATTAAATACTAACTATTGGCATCTTTTAAATAATAATATTTTTCAGAAAAAATATAGACATATTTTTTAAATATTTTCTTTAATCAATAATTAATATAATCCATTTATATTTTTATTAAATTTTGTCATTTATGTGCAATTATAGCTATTAACAAAAAGTTTTGAATAATTTTTTAACAACTTTTAAATAACATACGATAAACGTTTCTGCCATGAACAAGTGGCACTATCTATTGCAAGTTGCTCTCACTAATAATATGGAATTTTACTTGTCGATAAAGCATTTACTCGCAACTACTTACAATGCGTTCTTTCTTACCATGTAAAAAAAGAGATAGAAAAATAATATATAATTCATACATTATACATACAAGCGAGTAATTTTCATGAATCTATTATTTCTCAAGAATAAAATAAAAAAAAATAAAAAGAACCCAAAACGATAGCGTTATATAATTCATACATTGAACTGTAAAATATAAATATATCAAAAATGAAATTAAATATTCAAATAAAATATCCACAAAAATAATAAGTAATATTTCTAAAGCAATTTTTATGTGCATTTAATCTTTCTAAGATTCTTTAATAAGTTATGATTAATAAAAGAATTATATAAATTTCCAAAACAAAATTTGGTTAAAAATAAACTTTTATACATATATGCAGTTTGATAAAAAAAATCTCAAATTTATATAAGTAATTTAAATAATTATCACACACATTTATCAAGACAAAATACTTTGTGTACAAATATCAAATATTTTATTAAATTATATTTTTATTAAATTATAATTTATTAAATAATATTAAATATTGTATTAAATTATATTTTAAAAACAATGTACATATGCATGTATTGTTACACGAGTTTGCATATAAGCTGTATTTCAATCTTTAATACCCAGTATAGAAAATCTGTAGTAGTTATACGTTACGTATACAATTAAATTTTTAGTACCGGCAGTGAATATTAAAATATATATACGCATTTATAGCATATCAAATGCTTGATCATCGCAGGGGAAGAATTATCATTAATATCAAGTAGCAAATGTAATAAATATTACTCACTCAACGCTGTTTCACCATCGTCTGATGTCTCCCCAAGTCTCCTCTTCTCTTCTCTTGTTCTTCTATAGCACTCTCATACACACATTCGCGAAAACGCGATTAACCACAATTCGCCATGCATCACCGAAATGTAACGCGGCACTTTGTACGGCACCCCCGATGTTAATTAATTAAACGCGATGCACTTTAAATTACACCGAGCTAAAACATCAATGCAGCAGATTCATAGACGTAATATTCTATATCGGTATGGGCAGGTACACGATACGATCGCAGGAAATGATACGACACTAGTGACGTTTCGCGAATTAGACGAACGGCGGACGAACGTTGACGGTTGAACGACAAAGCGATTCGAAAATGTGGCCAACTTCACGCGCCAACGTCAACTATAGTATGATCATCTATACTCTATACTGTCGCGACGCTATCATATTTGATGCTTCTACTTTCCGCATTTTGAATAATGAATTATATGCTTTTGTGTTTATTTATCTATATTGCAATGCAAATATATATCAAGTAACAAATATTCATGGAATATAATATCCAAAAATACGGATTATGGTCATCGTTTTTTCTGTTACTCGCGCAACGAATTTCGATGGAATGAATTTCGCGAAATGCGCGTATTAACAATTCGATGAGTAAATTTACGTAATCGGCTTCTAAAATGTGATTAGACATCAAATTGACAATGTACTTACTAATTGAAGTGCTTTGTGACACTGCTCGATTCAGAGACGCGTTTGTTCTTGCGACACGCGGAATAACGACTAATTCAGAAGTGACGTCGACAATTTCACTTTTATGTCAGGTATGATGTGAATTTAGTCAATATAAATTTGTTGATTACACATGGTGGATTATTCAAAAATATACAATCCAATAAATTTAATGACTTTTGAGTAACGCATTTCGAATGTATAGATTAAATGATACTTAAAGTACATACATGAATTAACAAACGATTGGTATATTTGCTCTAATATTTGCGTTATTGAACGACTCGCGTATTTATTCCGTGTTCCCCATTTTGCTTCCCGAAACAACGAAGAAAATTTAGATTGGAAAATAATTCAGAATATAAGGCGTTACGTTTGTCTTAATTATCTAATTGTCTTGAAGAGACAAGTATCGCCTGTCATTATCATTTATTAGACACGATTAAAGTAATTTATAATTACCAAATCTCTATCGAATTTGCCCAACGGAGAAGCGTGAGAAATTGTTTCGACAA